TTAATTATCTCTTTAAAAACTATCTCCAGGCCAGGTACAGATGCTCATGCCATTAATCCCAGCACTTTGGGAGACCAAGGTAGGCACATAACCTGAGGTCGGGAGTTCAAGACCAGCTTGATCAACATGGAATGGAGAAACTCCATCTCTACTAAAAATACAAAATTAGCCCGGTGCATGCCTGTAATCCAGGTACTCGGGAGGCTAAGGCAGGAGAATTGCTTGAACCTGGGAGGCAGAGGTTGTGATGAGCTGAGATCACACCATTGCACTCCAGCCTGGGCAACAAGAGCGAAACTCCATCTCAAAATAAAATAAAATTTTAAAATAATAAAATAAAACTAAAACTCTATCTCCAAATACTGTCACATTCTGAGAATCTGGAGTTTAGGACTTCAACATATAAATTTGTTCAAACAATTCTGTCCATGAAACCATTCAGAGGAACAAGCTGGAAATATAGATACTTCCTCCAAATCCCTCTGACCCTGTTGGGAAACCAGACCAGCCCTGTTCTTACATGTGCAAGCTCTAAAGAGATGGCCTAGATGCCAATACTACATGTCCAGACACAAGCTGTGAGACCTTAGGCAAGTGACTTGTCCTCTTTGGGCAATGGTTTCTCAGATGCAAAATGAGGATGATTATAGTAGTGCCTAAGTCCTGTAACATAGGATCGCAGTGACAAGGAAGTCAGTTCCACACATAAAGGGCTTAGAACAGTACCTGGCACAAAGTAAATGCTTCATAAATATTGGTGACTTTTATTACCAGTTGAGCCACCAGGCACCCTAGCTAATTACTAACCCAACCTGGGTGGAGATCTGTTGGATCTACATCCAAAGCACTGTTGAAGGTGCCCCCAGTGAACTCTAACTGTGGCTACCCATGAGCCCATAGTGAGTCTAGCCAAAACCTATTGGCCACAAATTTGGGAGCAAACATCCATTCATCTTCCAGAAGCCTCGGCCAACTTATTCTTTCAACTTAAGACCCTGAGAACTTAAGCCTTCTCCTTGTAGCAAATGAATATACATCTACTTGTAAGTCCCTTTGTATAGGTTGAATGGATAGGTAATAAATTTCTCCCTTTTTTTTTTTTTAATTCTCACTGAAGACTACAGAGAAGGGTTTAAACTAATCCTGGGAAGATAAAAGTCTTCTTTTTTCAGTCTATGTAGTCTTGCCTATACCTAATCAGCTTGCTTGTCAAAGCAGACCCTAGATCTGCTACAAAAACATGGCAAGGAGACTAGCGATATTTTCGCCTTGATACACTGGGTGTTTGTCATTTGAGGGTGCCAGGCCTTCAGCTTTACAGGCACTACATTAGTGTCAATGGAATCCCTCACTTCCGACTCAGAAGCAGAGTGCCCTCACTAATATCTACAGATTTTTGAAAAATGTGTTTTTACTTATTTATTTAGGGGGTACAAGGGCAGTTTCTTACATGCATATATTGCATCATACAAGTCTGAGCTTTCAGTGTACCTGTCACCTGAATAGGGAATCTTGTACCCAACAGGTAACTTTCAACCTTCCTCCCTCTCCCACCCTTCCACCTTTTGGAGTCTCCTATGTCTATTACTCTATTCTGTATATCCATGGGTACCCATTGTGTAGCTCCCAGTTTCAGGTACAAACGTGATATTTGACTTCCTGTTTTTGAGTTATTTCATTGAGGATAATGGCCCCCAGTTCCATCCATGTTGCTGAAAAATACATAATTGTATTATTTTTATGGCTAGGTAGTGTTCCACGGTGTCTGTGTGATATATCAGCATCTTCTTGACAAGTCCTATTCAACCAGCAGTATGATATTTTCTCTTACTGAATTTTTACATATCCTTGCTTTAAGATCTAAGTAAGAATGTTTCATTAGTCATTTCCTGAGTTTCTGGACTGTCTTCCAATACCCAGATTTTGAAAGAGAGACAGACAGAGAGAGAGAGAGAGAGAGAGAGAGAGAGAGAGAGAGAGAGAGAG